GGGTTGAGTGATTATTTTCTCCACCAAAAGCATTACTGAGGCCATCCAAATCGAGTGCTTGATGGTAGGGCTTTCATCATATGTAAAATGCTTTGAAATGCTTCTAATTCAGTCAGTATCAGTGCAACATTACCATTTCTACTTGGCACATGTTATAAAGCAATATGGACGCAGCTGCAAAAAAAAAAAAAAAAGCAGACTGGTATGTTACTTAAAACAAACAACATACAAACATTTCATTGCTGAACATATACGTAAATACAGTCACTATGGCAGCATAAAGCAGCAGGACTAAAATTGCTTTAGTGCTCAAAACTTGCAAGGGCATGTGATTGATTGCATTAACTGGCATTAATCTTCTGAAAAGAAATATATTCCCCTAGATATAAAAGATGAACCTAGATTCGTGTCAAGGCTTGTGGCTGATTTATTTTGTATTATTTTGTGCAATAATTCAAAATGTGTTCTACTCAAGCACAACACTCCAGTGACACACAAATTGTCTGGACTCAACCCAGTCAAATTCATGGCCAACACCAATAAACTGAAATCATCTTCAGATGACAATACTAAAAATCCATCAATCCATTCATCCATCCAGGTTAACTGAAAGTGAGTGATGATGGAAAAGGTAATCTAAATTTAGAAATAAGGCAAATGCACAATTAAATATCCAATATATCCACTATACTATACAACGTTTGAGGTAGTTTTTTCAATGTTTTTGAAAGAAGGCTGCATTTATTGATCAAAAATACAGTAAAAATAGCAGTCAATATAAAATAATGGTAATATCACACTAATATCAGTAATATTTTCTATTTGAATATGTTTAATTATATTTTATTTATTCCTGTGATGCCAAAGCAGAATTTTCAGCATCATCACTCCAGTCTTCAGTGTCACATGATTCTTTAGAAATCATTCTAATATGCTGATTTGGTGCACTGGAATCATTTTATTGTTGTTGTTGAAAACAGTGCTTGATATTTTTGTGGAAACCGTGATGTATTTTTTCAGGATTTTTGACGAATAGGAAAAAAAAAAAAACAGCCTTTTTATTTGAAATAGAAAACTTTTGCAACATTGCAAATGCCTATACTGTCACTTTTGATTAATTGAATGCATCCTTGCTGAAGAAAAATGTATAATTTCTTTTTTAAAAAGCGTACTTTTGAACGGGAGTGCATATAAAACCAGCTTTTATACAGTATCAATATTGGGCATCCACATCATGTCAACATCAAGGGAAAACAGGCAGCTTTCTAAAAACTCCAGAAAAGTTCTGTCCTTGACACCATGGATGTGGTTTCACCCTGTGCTTAATACCCCAAAATAAAGCAACATCCTGACACATCTTATCAACTTGAGGATATCTTCTAGCCCGACCGCAACTGGGAGCTCAGTCTTGGCTCTCCTGGAGAGCACAATAAATGACACAGTAAATGAGTTTGGATGACATTGACTGACAGTGTCATCTCCTGAGAAGTGCCCTGTGGTTTCTCCAAGACAGACCTGTAAATACATTCCGTACCTCCTCCTCCTTTCTGTCAAAAAGGGGAGATACCTGCTATGGATAGGTCATTAATGACCCAACTGCCCGCCCCCAGCTCCCCCTTCAATTGTCACTTTGAATCCAATTTCGCTGATATTCACTGGAAACTAAACAAACCCAGCTGGATCCCCTGTCCATCAAAAGCAGCTGCTGTTTGTTGGCTCTGTAACATAAAAATAATAGAAAAGATTCTATTTATATAAATTACATTTAATCATCTGAGGGCGCACATACTGTATATGCATTTACATACATGATCCATTTACATATATATATATATATATAAATGATTCGGTTCTCTGAATTTTCACTGCTCTGCTTTTCATTTTAGAAATGCATGTGAAAGATGTTAGAAATGCTTATAAAGAATGAATGTAAAGCTGTCACATGATCAGCAAATTAGCATTTAGTGCGATGCTTATTAATCACGGAATCTGTCGACGGCATGATTTACATTAATGACAACGTTCAAAAACAACATGCAAAAATAACCCATGATATTACAATATTGCTATTTTGACATCAATTACAATCTGTATATCTATATCCGTAGTGTGGGAGGATTTGGAAAACAAAACAAGACAAAAAATCTCTGCATGACAGGGAAAAGCAATAAAACTCTTGTCTCTACTGAGAAACATGAATTATTTACACCACCCTTTGTTTGGTCTTTCTGTCAGAAAAATACAATAACAGATAAGGAATACTGTTCACTTGAGGGACACAAGAGGTAGAGATCATGTACTTTAACTTTTGAAAAACATTTTATGCTTGTGCTATAGAAAATTCCATACGATATTTCTTTAGTGATGCCTTGTGCTACTGTGGTACTGTTTAATTAATTAATTAATTAATTTATTTATTATTTTACTTCTTACACAATACCATTCACAAATTTGGGTAACAGTTTTCTTTTTAAATATATTTTAACGTTTAATTACATTTTTAAAAATTCAATTTAATTTCCTGTGATGGCAAGATATCATTCTAATATGCTGATTTGGTGCACAAGAAACATTTCTTATTACTATCTATGTTGCAAACAGTTCTTATTATTTTTGTGAAAACCATGATGCATTTTTTTTTCCGGGATTCTTTAATGAATAGAGAGTGAATAGCATATATTTGCTAAAGAAATATTTTGTAGCTTTATAAATGTCTTTACTGTAACTTTTGATCAATTTAACAGATTATTTCTGAATAAAAAAAAAAAAAATCTTACTGTCCTCAAACTTTTGAATAATACTGTATTTTTATTGTCATTTACAAATATATCAATCAAATATATCATGGGTGACATGCCATGTATGGTAGAGAAATGAACATTTAATTCTCGGGCAACGGCTCTGGTGGACATTCCTGCAGTCAGCATGAGTGATTGTGTTTGGGATGCTCTGGATCGGTGTATATGACAGCATGTTCCAGGTCCTGCCAATATCCAGCAGCTTCGCACAGCCATTGAAGAGGCCACTTTCCACAGGCCACAATCAACAACCTTTTTTTTTTCTTGTTAGAAATTCTAACAAGAACGTTCAAGGACTAACAAGTAACCTTTGAAACAAGATATATCAAAGGTGCAGACGCTGAATCTTTGAGATAAGGACCTCAGGAAAAAATAATAAGGAAGGCTTTGTAAATTCAAATACAGCAAAACCTATACAATCTGAAGAGGTGGTACACTTGCATAGTAAAGGCATTAAGTGCCACCCGAAAAAAAGCCACAACAGCAAAAAATTATTTATATCGCACACTTTTGGTGGGATATGTCTGAATAACTAAAGAATGAATGGTTGAGAGGTTAAAAAGCCACTTACTTTTCACCGTTTGCAACTTTAGCGAGGAGCCTGAAGCACAAGAGGCCGTTGTTCTTGGTCATGCACACATACTGTATGTTAGAGAAAAAACATGGGAGAGGAGAGAACGGTTGAAATTGCATCTCCAAATGATAAGCTCTGTCGATTTGGATAAAAGCTAATGAAAAAAGCATACAAGAAAAAGAAAGTGGCCTGGTTCACACTGACTTTGAAAAACAAACTCAAACAATCTGTATAGCTGTAACAGTACAGCATGTGCACTTTTGCTGAAGGGCTAGTTGTAGCTCTAGTTTGATCATATCTGCAGGAGAGCAGAACTCCATGAGGTCTTTAAGGTGGAATTCTGAAGGGATTTGACAGCACTGCGCCACCGTGTAACCCTGAATCTTATTATAACACGGTTCAGCCTTGCAAGGACATGGCGTTGTCAGTCTACAGGAAGCACTTGACAGTATCATGGTGTGTGCTTATGGCAGTTGCTCTGTTGAACAGGCTCGTGTAAACAGGCTTGAGATAGACATGCAGCACACAATAATATTTCCCTTCTAGTGTGTACAGATGACACAAAGTAAAGCAAGAAGGTTCATTAGAGTTCAGTATAATAACATGATACTGTACACCTCTGTTTGATCCCACAAAGTGGAAGTATTTGTAGGAAGCTGTTTGTTTGGTTCCAGACTCATTTTTTTCTGCCTTCATTAAAATGGGAAACTGTGAGGCATGAAATTACTGCCTGAATTATTGTCATTTGTGTAAATATTTGTGCAATATTAATATTCAAAACAGGACGAAGGAGATAAGTTATTATGATTACTGTGTTTTCAATTTTAATTGATTTTTCGCTGCGTGAATGAGCATCACTAGTGCCAACTTTTATTTTTAGACCTCTGTCCCACACACACTATCTCAGAGTTCTCCCAATCATGTGAGAACAGAGATTATTTACATTTCTTCTAATTGCACAAGGCTATTTGTCAAACAGTGAAGGCCTAAACCAGTCACTCTATAGGTTACATGGGAATGTTTATCGTGTTACCAGTGTAACAGTGTTTTCATTTAGTACTAGCACATTGTCCCATAATATGAGCAAACAATGCCATCTTGTGGGCAATGGGATCAGACTCTATCTATCTATCTATCTATCTATCTATCTATCTATCTATCTATCTATCTATCTATCTATCTATCTATCTATCTATCTATCTATCTATCTATCTATCTATCTATCTATCTATCTATCTATCTATCTATCTATCTATCTATCTATCTATCTATCTATCTATCTATCTATCTATCTATCTATCTATCTATCTATCTATCTATCTATCTATCTATCTATCCCGAAAGCTTGTTATTTTAGTTGATAAAGTTATACATATTTTTCTTATTTCTTATTTTCTTATATTTTTCACGAACACACCGCTTTGCTTCAGAAAGCCTTTATGTATTACATTATTATTTAATATAACTCCGATTGTGTTTATCTGAAAGAAGAACGTCATATACACCTGGCTTCATTGTGAGTACGTAAATCATTGGCTAATTTTTATTTTTGAGTGAACTATCCCTTTAAGGCTGCCATCTTTGCTTGCTCAAACTTTTTTTAACATTAAATGGAACACTGATGAAAAAGAAAATACTTTTATTTGATTGTGTAGTGCAATCAAATTGTATTTTTATTTTGTCTGGGGAAAAAAATGTTAGGCTATTTATTTGGACAGAGATGGCCTTTTCAGAATAGTGCAGTTAAATACTCTACCAGCAGGGGCTAAAGGGGTGCTCAAGAGCTATACAATTATACCTCCTCTTCTTCTTCTTTTTTTTTTTTTTTAATAATAATTGCCACTACTTTGCTACAGGCCGAGTAACTTACAAAAACGCGCCAACATGGATAACTTACTCAAACCTCGCTAGACTCATCAACGTCATTAAAGGTAAGCAGCAAAAACAACTCTTGTTTTTTTCTCTCACACACAATATGCATGAGCAAGTTGCATTTCATTATTTCAAATGTGATAGCCTAACGTAACACCTTGTTTTGTTGTGACCAGGTAAATTTGGGTGAGCGGTGTGAACATTTAGGCTACTTTCTTAGTAAAAAGTACCAAAGAGCCAAGCCAATTATCATGGTTAGGTCAATGCAACTGATGTTTCTTTCAAATAGAATATTTTTGTACGTATATTCAATCACATAAAGCTGGAAAATGTCGATACACTAGCTAAATGTTTGTCAATGTGCATGTTCATTTGGGTGTCTACACACAGCTGCAAGGTGACTATGGATATGTTTTATAGAATATTTGTGGCAAGAATATGAAAGTGTCAGTTGAAAGGAGGGGCTTGAAGGGCTTTATGGAAGGCCAGCATCCATGCGAAGCACCAATCATTCTTTTTGGCCTAGAGTATCGTTGCTTTGCCCTTTCTAAAACAACATTCAGTCAGCTTTAAAGTAGATTTTTTATCTCAAAAAGACTCCATCACACACTTGTGAGCTGGGAAATGCCTACCATCCTGTCTGTCTACACTGTATGTTTATTTGTGAGAGCTTGCTGCAAGCAAAGATGCTGAAATTTGAAATGTTAATTTCAATAAATTCACTGTCCATCTGTGAAAGGTGGGAGTTTAACCCACATAACTAACTTATTTCACCCTAACCACTAAATGTCTGACAACAGATAACCCTTACCTTATAGATAAATATTTGGTGCATACTTTTAAAAATGCTCAAAGAGGGAAATTAATCCTCAAATCTAATGGCACCTCCATAACACAAATGGAAATTAAATGGAAACAGGCAGGTAAATTGTACCTGTTCAAAATGTTGTCAATCAGTTTGTAGAGCAACAAAGTTTTTAAGGCTGTAAAATATCAATGTTGAATCTTTTCTATAATAGGTATATCCAAAATCAGTCATACAAAATAAGGCTGGTTTATAAACTTGGTGTCTTTCATTAAAGGAATAGGTCATCCAAAAATTCATCATCATTTTCTCACTCTCATGTTGTTCCAAACCGGTTTGACTTTCTTTCTTCTGCTGAACATAAAAGAAGATATTTTGAAGATCATTGGTGCCCAGATAGTTAAAGGCACCCAATGACTCCCATAGTATTTTGTTTTCCAACTATGGAAGTTAATGAGTTCTTCATTCAACATTCTTCAAAATATCTTCTTTTGTGTTCAACAGATGAATGAAATTCATACAGGTTTGGAAGAACTTTTAATTAATGACAAAATCTTTATTTTTGGGTGAACAATCTAAGGAAATACAGGAAATATAGGCAATCCATGCTTTGCACCACTAGATGGCAGGCTTTAACTTTACACCCGCTCCTGATTCAGTTACAGGAGATTTCACTAGAATTGCATTTCACTTTAGTTGTGCATTTTATAGGCTATATAGGCTACTGAAGGGAAAATCTGATTTATCTCAATTTTTTATTGCACTGGCAAGTGAAGTTTAATTTCTGATTACCTTGGGAGAAATCAACCCAGATTCATCAATTTGCTGGTTGTTATTTAACTATTTCAACTCAGTAAAGATAAGATATGATACATGGGCAATATAATTAGCTTTTGGTCTAGCCCTCGGTCTGGTTTAACTTTCTTCACCCATCTGTTTTTATCACAATGTTCACTATCACTCTGTGTAGCAACTTCAGTCCATCCATTTGAGAGAGTAAATAAACTAAAATGACACCATTTTAGTTTTGATTTATAGAGAGCAGTTGTTGTCAGCAATGCACCCTTCAGATTTGCGTGATATGTAACATTTTATTACATACAATAGAAAAGATTCATGAAGTGACATATGTCATTTAGGTACTTAGTTTAATCCTGATTCAATATGAGTCTAACTTAGATTTCCTGTGATGAACATGGTGGATAAACACAATGCCTTTTGTGTAAAACACTCAGTGACACCAAAATACAACATCAGCGCTTTTTGATGAAGGTAGGAGGAGCACAATGTTTGCTTCTGCTCCAAAGCGCGTGGTAAGGGGGTTTGGACCTCTGCTGTTGTGGTTTTGGCAACTTTGTGGTTCAGCAATCAAAAGTGCTCATGTTCTCTGAACATCAAGTTGATTTTCACTTCTGTGGTTTAAAAAAAATAAGATAACTGATTATTATTCTGTACTGTTTACAGTAAAAATAATCTTTTTTTTTTGTAGTTCAGTTTTTCTCAGTGGGGTCTCTGGCTTTCAGTTTGGATAGAAATATGAATGTGTGCATGTAGGGATCAGGCCATTTGAATAGAGATTTCTCAGTGGAATGTATAATTAGACAGAGGCCTGTGAAGGGAGAAAGGTAGGCATCTCTCCAGCCCTTAGGCTACCAGCTTCAAAACATTCATAACTTCATCCACAGTAGCTGGTACAAAGGCCTGTATGAGTTCAGTTTTTTGAAAGATGACTTTAAAATAAAAGCAACGATATGTCGGACATTGGATTAGATGCATTGTGTGAGATTTAGATTTAGAGTAAAAGAGCTGCATTTTGTGCTTTAGTTTGTTTAATATCTCTGCAAAATGCATGATTTCAAAGAAAGTTTGACTTGGCCGCCTCACATCCCTCCGTATAAGCTTAAATCTCACAGTCGGGTCCATGCCTGACGCAAGTCTGACGCATGCAGCCAGAGCAGACGAATAAAACCGACTAATGAATTGACTTTCGAGACTCAGGATAATATGATAAAACACACTGGAGACCTGTGGCTGTTATTAAACCAGTCAGCACAAGTCCGAACCAAAAGAAGCACTGCTTGGTTTTAATCTGTCTCATTCATTTTCCGTGGATGTCTCTATAAAGCATTAATGCTCAAAGTTTGGCTTTTGGAAAAGCTCTTACGGGAAAAGGGAGCTATTCTTTTCGTTGCCCTTGACAAGTGAACAATAGAGGCGGTATTGTTGAGAGAAGGTCAGGTTGTGTAGCAGGTAGTGTCTTTGGAAGGTAACTTGGGCAAAGCATGGGGCTTTTGTCTGTGTCTGGCTCTCTGGTTGGACTCTCATGGCAATCCGTACCCCCTACCCCCTACAGCAGTGACCGGATTCATCCTATTAGAATGCAGCGCTCATTCGCTGCCTCGGCTCACTGGTGGAGAGAGGAGGCTGTGGAAGAGAGATGAACGATTTTAGCTGGGAGAATGCCAAGCAGAACTCAGTCTTTTCTGCTCTTTGGATTTTAGTGGTTCAAGATTTTGTTTACAGCGGAGGCTGATATCTAAAAAGAGCGGGCCAATATAATACTATATTTCAGTAAAAATAATGAATAGAAAAATGTTGCAAAATCATTTATTTATAATGCCTTATAGTTCATATATTAAATCATATTTATTTATAAAATGTTATTTTATTCATTTTCACAACAAAATTAACGGGAAAAAAAATAGTTTGACCAAAAAAAAAAGTGCAGTATTCATTGTAAAATTACCACTTCTGTTAATCCTCTGATTAAAAGCTGATATTTATTGGAAGTCTAAATTTAAATAAAATGAATGAATAAAAGTACATTTTGTTTTATATTTGTATGTTTAAAAATGATAGGTGGATCCTGTTGTAGACCAATACAATCCATTTTCAGGTACTCGCATAGTTAGAAAAGGTAAAAAGCCTTACCTTTCTTACTAAGTGAGTGCTTGGATGCAGATTTTCTTTCTGTACAACAGGATCCACCTATCATTTTTGATATATCGTTCCCCTTCTGGGAGCACCTATTGTTTGTGAGTACCAGATGCACCCCTGGTTGAGATATTTTATCAGATTTTTTTAAGGTGTTTATTTTTTTTGCTAAATATTTAACAGGAAACATGTTTCCTTTAAAGGGACAATGTGTAAGAATTTTGTAATGAAATATCCAAAAATCACTTGCACATTGTGATACAGTTCATATTGCCAAAGCCATGACGTAACCACGTGACAGACGTGGACAACTGCGTAGCATTTAGCGGCACACATTTCTTGTTTCTTTCGAAACATAGACCATGACTTTGGGACAAACAAGGAGAACTAAAATGAGGATAAATATCAGTGTGGCGTTTTTGAGATGCCGAGAGCTCCACGTCCGCGACTAACTTGGACTTGACAGAGCTTCACAAGTCACGACTTGAGATGAGCAAATGTAAATAAAACAAATAATGTTATATAAGGTTAGCTCAGCATGATGAAATATTACAATAGGGTCAGTATGTTATTCCAATGTTGATCTAGCTTACTGCCAGTTTCCTATAGCAATTGAACAAACATGTAATATTATAACTTTAAACGCACATTTAAATGCCGTTTATTGTGATAGTGGAACGTTAGACCAAGTGAAGCAGCACTGCGTTACCTTACAAATTTAATTAGTCTAATAAACTGACCTGTGAGTATTCCAGCAAGGTAGTTCGGTAGAATTAAATGTCCTTATTCCTTTATATCCGCGGGACTCGCGTGTGATATCTGTCTCTTTAGCAATTGCGACCTGCTTACCAGTGCAATGTTAAAAAACAAACATGTTTGCCCTCATTCATAAACAGTTTTAGATCAATCAGCTTGTCAGCAAGTCCCATCATTCAGCTAATCACTGCATCATCAACCTACGCCTTTAGTATTGCTGGAAACTGCGCCCTCTTGTGGTGAAAAAATCGTACATATTGTGCCTTTAACATTTAAAAAGTGCATTATTCACTGTTAAATAAACACTTCTGTTAACCGTACCGTCTGGAAAGGCCGTTGCTGATTTCTAAAGAGCAGGTCAATATAATGCTGAATTACAATTTATATTTAGAATTATATTTAAAAATGTTAAAACAAATATTATTTTATCTTATATAACATACATTTAAATAATATTCATTAATAAATATTTTCTCGTATTTTACACAACATTTGCAAAATGAACAGAACATTTTTTTTAAGATTGTTCTCAAAAACTTGCACATTATTAATTGTAAAATGAATACTTTTGTTATAGTCGGTAGATTAGCCATGTCATCATTTTTTTTTTCTTCTGCTGAACACAAAAGAAGATATTTTGAAGATCAAAAAGTTGATGGGCCACATTGACTTCCCATAGCCGTTTTTTATGTCAATTTCGACCCATCAACTGTTTCATATTCTTCAAACAAAATACCCTCTTTTGTGTTCAGTTAAAAATGTAATAAAATATAATTTTTAACAGCAATGTTGACCTGTTAAAATGTCCTGTAAAATGTCTTATGCAGAAAAGTTGCAGTATATTACTTTTGAAAAAAACAAGCAAAACGTTGTTAACCTTTATATTTCTTTATTGAACAAAGCCTAGACAAAAGCATTTTGAGTTGATCAATGCAACACTGAGAGAGAGAAACAGAGCAAGAGAAAAAGATAGAGAGAGTTTCAACAGTTTTATAATGCATCTAATAGAGTGTGTCTGGTTGTACTTGGCAGTCTCTGTGGCAGCCCAGGAACTCATTGACCTCTCAGCTCATCTGTGTGGAGATGAGCTTCGCTTAAACACCGCCAACTGCCTGCAAATGAAACACACGGCACAATTTCAGCAACAATCGCACATATACATAATTTGAAATGGTCCTCACTCTGCGGTATTTCAGTTTGAGCCGAAACCCCACATTTACCATCTTATGAGATGGTTTTAGTTTGGCGCTTGACTCATCTGTGGTAAACCCACATATAAGCCATAAATAACGGATACATTTCCATATGAGGCACAAAAATTATTCTAAACATTCCATGAAATTACCCCTGCAATTATCGTACAGTTAAAACTTGGTATATGAGACACACAGTGAGGTTTTCCTCCACTAAAGGATTATTTAGCCAGTTTAAAGAAAACATGTCAGCAAAAATGTGACCTGGTGGCTGAGAAAGTGCCGACAATCTTAATCATATGATATCATATATATTCAAATAGTGTCCGTGCACATCGTGTCTGCTCAATAGCTCATGGTGGGCTGGCCAACATGAGGGTTGCTGACTTTGGTAGACAGACTGCTGAGAGAAAGTGACCTTGGTGGTGCCAATACAAATAATGCGGCGGTGCACCTTGTTGTCGCTTGCGAACTGAAATATGGATGCATGGGGATTGGGTTGTCTTGGCAACCCCTACAAAGCAATGCAGTAGAGGGCACCAAGGAGATAAAACTGAGTTGAAGAGGGACAATGGGAGATTTGGAGCCAGAATATCATTTGCATCAGTTACAGACTATATCCACCACATGACGACACTAAAGTGTATCTCACTGGCATTAATGGCTGTCTGGTTGAAATTATAGGTAAAAAAAGCCTCTCATTTTCATGAAATTTAAATGTGAAAATGAAATGAAAATGTTGTAATCTATATGCAGCGTATTCATAAGATTGAAATGGAGGGTGAAAGCAATGGCGGCAGCACACTCAACGATGGAGTGAGTTTTCAGGTGACTGTCTGGACGCCTGCCGCAGTGTCTGAAAAACACAGACATCAGCCAACTCTGATTATCACCCAAGTGTGTGCTAGCAAATATGCGTGTGTGATAGAAAAGAAAAGAAAGAAAAAGTAAACTAGAAATGAGCAAGACATCTGTGACTAAAACAGCGGTTGTGTCCTTATTTGACTCATATTTTATTTTATTTTTTAAATGGAGACAATAGCTTCACCCTCAAGGATCTTACAATATCTGTCAAGAATACTACATATTTAATGCTATTAAATTGGCTGAAGATTGTGCCAGCTCATATTAGTACTCTTGTTGATAAAATCACTGTAAAAGTCCACAATCAAGATATTTTATTCACTGTAATTTTGAATTGATTAGAAATAGATTCAAATTAAAAGTAGAATTTTTAATATTAGTTGAATCTAAAAAAAATCCACATTTGAATTTTAGTTGCGTCAGATACAGCTTTATCAATGATGCACGAGATTCTACTATAATTCAAACCGTACAAACAATTCAAACACAACCATTCAAACCAATGAGAAATAGCGAAGCTCAAAACCGAAATCAAGACGCTCACGCAGAGTGCTGCTTTTCCATTGGGTCTCTGTAAATAAGTGCTAGATGTACAAGGAGGCTGCATGTTTAGAAAGCCATTTAAAGTTAAAAGAAGTTCAGCTTTTTAAAAAACATGTCTCTAGACGTTGTGGGGGTTTTCCCATTCCACTGAATCTCATGTTTTTAAATAGAGCCCGACTGATAAAGGATTTTGAAGGCCGATACCGATACAAATATTTGTTGGTTTTAAAATCCAATATTCCGATATATCGGCCGATATTTTTTTTTATTTCATTTCAGAAATGCGAACATTAACAAAACATTATCAGATTTCCCTAACATTAGTTATTTGTATTTATTTATGTGTTTTAACTAAAATAAAATGATAATACATTTTAATTGTCACAACAGAACAGACTGATGATAGTGGCATTATAGCTAGCTTTGTGGTTAGCTAATCTATGATGAGCCATAATTTAGCAATGGATAACGTCATACTGCAAATTGTAAAACATACATTTTCAATATAATAGGCCAAGTAGAGATGATGCGTCTCATTGCTATAACTGTCGCGCGCTAGTCACATTGTCATAAGTCAAAAGGACAGTCAGTCAACTACACTGTAACAACGTAACGTAATTATTACTAGCTAATTCCGCTTCACTTTTGGCTTATTTAACAGCAGCAAAACTGGACGTGGTCACAAGTTTTGTCATGCATATTTGAGTCAAGAGAACTGATTGGGATGTTCTTTTAATTGTTATTCAAGCAATGTTTGTCTCGTGACCAACTCACCATGAACACACTTCACCAATAACCTCACTTGCGGATAACTGGTTCTCTCTGCCCGACTCTGACTGGATCAGCAGGTTGAAGGATGTGTGGCGCGTTATACATGAGTGTTGCCAACAGGGAAGGTGTAGAGTGCCCTCTGGTGGACAAACTATACAACTCCTACACTCATGACCTGGTTGAAGCGTGTTTCGTCCGTTTATATTTTATTTTTGAAATATCCATTTATTAGCCATTATAACTGCCGATACTGATAGTTTGGAAAATGTCTAATATCGGCTGATAATAACATCGGGCCTGCCGATAAATCGGTCTGGCTCTTTTTTTAAATGCAAAAAATAGTCTTTGTTGCAATTTATCAACCCTTGAATGTGGATTAATTTTTAATAAAAGCGACATTTTGAACAAAAAACTGAGAAAATCAAATTTTTGTCAAAGACTACATCCAGGTCAGATTCAGAAAGTCCATCAACATCCCTAATGCTAGCACAGTTCTATAGCTTTTCCTATCCTTTTCCGACATTTCATTAAGTAACATTAGGCAGTTTTGATTTACATGCTGGTTAATGTTGAAGATCGGGTTATTTGCATGTGATGATTACATATGATATCGCTGGTTTCTGCATTTTTCTTCGCATGTTTTGATCTGGAGATTCAGTACTCCCTTTAAAGCTGCAGTCTGCAGTTTTTCCTCTTTGTCGCCATCTCTGTTCGAAATCTGCAATTGCAGTCATTCGAAGAATTATCAATTTTACGTGAGTTGCAGTTCAACACCACACAGCGCGGATGAACACATTGAGGAGAGTGTGTGCCTGTCAGTCACCGCGGTGTCGATACCGGCATTCAGACTCAGATTATTCTTTTTGGAAGTATGACCAATATAATACTTTTCACCGGAAAATCTTATCTGAACTAGTAAGAAACATCCACTTTTGTTCTGGTTCTGACATTGCAGTAAATCGCGCTTGTTAAATCTAAAAATCTCTTCTCACACAAAACCGTGAGAATTATACTTTGTTCTTCTCAAATTGTTAATGTTAACAACGTCAGCATTGCGTGACTACATGTAATGTCATTCCGATATTTATCATTGTTTTCGCATGGGCCGGTTGCAGTCTATTTTTTTTCTGTAGCCACTCCGAAGTCCGATTGAAGTCAAATTGCATTTTACATCGGGTGAATCTGTTGTCACTGGTGATAGTCATTTGAAACTTTCTGGATCCGCCATCAAATTGATGTTTAATTATATCAAGTGCTGTGAGAAAAGGCTATAAATCTCCACACAGTCACACGCAATATAGCCTTATACTAGCCGAGACTCTTCTTTTTACAGATGTGACGTAATGACGCAAAGACATGCCGATAGTCAAGCAGATAGTTTTGAACACTTGCTGGTTATGTATTTTCTCAAATGTTTATTTTGAATCTTTTTTAAGCCAAATAAAAAGCTACGGACTGCAGCTTTAAAAAAGTTAAATACAAATATAATTTGACATAATTTGTTATTTAAGTTAAAATAATCTAATTTAGTTTTTAAACCATTTTGACAGAACCTCTGCTCATACTAGCTGGCTAGCTGGCTCATACTGGCTTCAGGCTTACTGTGCTATGCCTGACTGTTTTGTATTCATGGTGGATGACTATCTCGCTACTGTTGCTGGGGGCTCTGGCAAGCACCTATTAGCTGGAAAACTGCCACGGCTTGGAGTGAAGTTTAATAAATATATAAAAGCCATGCAGTGCGTAATTGGATGGTTAGCGTCAGAGGACAATCAGTTTTGTTGAGGTTGCATTTTAGACGCTTTTCTTTTTTTTTCTCATTCAACTTGAGAGTCAGAGATTTAAAAATAATGACAAAAAGAGGGGCGAGAGTCAATCTGAGTGTTTTAATCATATACATATATATATATATATATATATATATATATATATATATTAGCAAAGTCTTAGTCAGTGGCTTTATAATTATATATCCAATATCCAAATGGTAAACCTGGTATTGGAAAAGTGAAATATTATTCTGAATTTAATGCGAAGCAGACAAGCTTACCAAATGGCATTAGAACTGTCTGCAGAATTATGCTATTAATCTATACATGTTTGAAGACTCGCTTACAGCTGTCATAAACACAGCAATGGCATTTTGAAGCAAAGCAATTATCTTCAGACTTTGAGTCTGAATGGAAACTCTAACTATTGTGAAAATATTTGAGTGACGGCAACAAATCCGACCCGCTTCTATATATATGTGTATATATATATATATATTCCTAATCCTAGTTCACAGACATCAAATGCGGACAGTAATGGAACATACTGACCTTTCCCACCTTTTATTTCCATTGTACATCTTGCCTCCGCGATAATTCCATAATAAAGGAGCCAATCTGCTTTTAATTAATCTGCCAGAGAACTTCTTCGAAAAATTATTGAAAACAGCATTTGCCCTCCCTACACTCTCGACAATCTCTGTGTCTGCCAATAAACTGTAATAGTAACCATATGCCCAGCAGGAAGCAAACCAAATGCATTACCTACATATTAAATTCCCAGTAAATTCTCCTTTTGATACGCTTTTTAATGCATTAGCTGTGCTTGTGAAAGAGCCACAAGATATGTCTCGATTTACCAAAACTATGTAAAAGGAGCATGTACATGTGTTGCATTTAATTAGACTTTTACTATAGTATTGAAATAAATGTATGCTCTGATCTGAGAGCTTTAGATGGAAAACCCCCTAACCAGACACCTTAGCTGCCAGGTGTATCCTAAGTTGGTATTTCCCAGTTTACAAACCGGTCGTGCCTCAAAGCGATTGAAGTGAGTGAAATTTTTTAAGTTTAAACAAGTTTAAGTTCAGAGCTTAAATACAGATCTCGAAATAGGATTTTCTGTTCTCATTCCAAACCCTTGTTTAATGTAATCCCGGGTTCACTCATTCATTCTCTAGTTTATACTTTACTTATGGTTAGTTAACTTCACACAGTATGTTTGGGAACTCTAGGCTAACATTCCTATTTGTGAAATCAGAAGATAAAAAAATAAAATAATCTTAATTAATGAATTAGAAAATCCATGGAAACCGCCATGCTAATAATTTATATATACAACAATATAATTTATACTATAAGAAAATACAATAACTTAACTTTGAATAGTTTTACACTCTATATTTTTTGCCATCACAATTGGAGGGTTAGCATCACAAAGTCTCAATAAACCCTGCTCTAACCCGGGGTTAACAGACATGACAACTTGCTTTCAAAAATAGAAGTGTGAAAAGTGGTGTTAACCTGGGATTTAAATGCTCACCCTGGGTCAAGTGCATTGCGACAAGCCCATATATAACATGATACAATTAGCATGTATTAAGCAGGTAAACAGACTGTCGCACAAACCCATTTGTCTGAGAGAATCTTTATTTATTTTTTGGTCAGAGATGCTGAAGCCCTCCACCTGTCTCCCAAGCTCCTGACCCGTGATTTTGAAAGAAGAACTCACGAGTTAGGGTCTCAGGGAACAGGAGGAGGGCAGCTATAACCAGCGGAGGCTATTGCTTTTCTTAAAGCTGAATTCAGCAGCTTCTACACTGCCAAAAGTTTTTTTCTGGCTGCATCACGTATGCTTAATGTCCTAAAGCATCGCTGGTCCTGTAAAAATACAAAGACTTTTCTCTAATACTGTTAGGCATGAGACAAAACTATAATAGGATGATGGGGCGTAAAAAAAGAATGGAAAGGCAACGAGCTGAATGACAACTTGTGAAACTTGTTTCCTCTTTCTTAGATTGGACTTCAATAGACAAATGCCCTTGCTCTGCAGTCTTTGTGTGAGGAGAGGAAACACCCCCCCCCCCCCCAACCTCCATCTCAGAGCCAGACGGTAAGTCCTTCCTCTTTGTTGTCTTCTCTTAGTCATGACAGACATGCAAATCCCATAGACACCCAGCAGAGAATCAAGGTGCCTCGTCCACATAACAGGTAGGTCAAAGCGACCTTGCATTGCAGTTTCAGGCAATAGTTGCAGACACAGAAAAGACAGAAAAATCCCCAAGCGAAAGTCTGTGTGACTTTCAAATAGACTGCATCGGTCACTCAAACCTATTTGGAAATGCAGGCATGCACCAAACCGCCTCAAGACAAAGCTGTCACAGATATTTGGAGGTACAACTAGTTGGCAACTACATACAGATGTGGCAAACATGCGAACCCCACCCCCCTCTTTTACCTCTGTCGACACTATTCGGTACGGTTAATGAAATCTCTCCCATCTGTGGTGGCAATTCAGTCGCACACCCCAGCCAAAACATGATGTTATTCCCTTCACCTCTCCCAGCTCCTCCCCCAATCTTCTCCCGCCCCCCACACCTCTGGCCCCTGTCCTCCCCTGAGGACAAGACGAAAACCGACCAAGGTGATGCTCCCGGGAATGAGCAGATCATTATCGGCATTCACAATTTACCTCTGCCTTTCCGAACAAACGAGGCGCCATCGCTGCCACCATCCATCTCTGAAGGAGAGAGAAAAAAAAATCATATTTGGAGGTAAAGAAGCGAGGAGCCGGGTGCTGAATCAGACGCAGACTGGTCTTAGGAGGGGGGCGGGGGTGGACTGGAAGGCGCAGGTTATACCCGCCCCGCCGTTTGCTGCCATTGGCTTGTGGGAGACATCCATCATGCTGTCCCGCAGTGGCAGGAAGCTGCGGCGCATGAGTGAGGCGAGTCCTTCTCTTCAGGCACAAGGCAAATGGCCGGTGGGCAGAAAAGTGAAGACCCAAAGAAATACCTCACAAACCCGATGTCTTCCTGACAGCCAACCTCGTCATCAACCTCATCCCGGCTCAGGGAACGCTAAAATTAATTGACTGAGGAGAGCAATAAAGCGTTTGCGCGACCTATTCTGCGGCTGGCCTGGGTCAGTCGATGACATCTTCTTTGAGAAATGAACTGTTAAGCAATCATTTACACCCCTGCTGATAGCATATTATGAGTAAGTCTATGCCTAATGACTAATTCATCATTAACTATGTCTAACATTATAGCGCAAACACTGAGAAAGGCGGTTCATGGAGAAAGAGGTTTCGTGTAACGATGATATAATGACTTGCAGAACAGCCCATCTTGTGGTTCAGTTCATTCCCCGTTTCATTAACACTCCTGCCCTATGCAGGCATTCTCTGAGGAGAACAGTGCCGTGAATGTCAGTATATAATCTCCACTGCACCACAAGGAACACAGCGATTTCTACAGCAACACATAATTCAAGTCCAAGTCCGCTTGGACTCCAGACTGCAGACATTGGAGACTCTACTGGGCCTAGGGACTTTTAAAGCAAATGAAATCAATGCAGGCCCTAAACTAGTGCCTGTAATCAATCAACTCTATTACAGCCTTTGCCTCAGTGTCTGGACATTGCTGACCCCCACTTTCACCTTTGGACATTAAAGATGCAGCAAATACATTACCAGCTTTACAAAGCTTGTTAGTCCTTGTGCAGTTGAGTGTAATGATTCTGCAGTGGCCCTTCACTATAGGCAAATACAAAACCAATAAATGAATCTCAATACCGTATCAGGGTTGTGCAAAATTCAGAATTGAAGAATTTGCTCTCATTCAATTCATGCAAATTGAATTTAAATTAATCACGCCCCAAAGGAAAATCAGTTGGAATTTGAATTGAAATGACAGGAAGAGGAATTAAATGGAATTGATTAACACATATTAATTTATTAAATATGATGAAATATGTAAACTAAATACACGTATATCTATCAAAGCTTTATAAACATGTTTAGCTTGATTTGTTTTTTCTATTTAAAAAAGTTAAATTAAAATTTGAATTGCAACATGTATCTTGTTTGGTGCCTAAATTTGATTTAAGGGTATTCTTAATTCAAAACTGAACAGCATCATTCTATAATCTACTAACTCTTCTCTGCCAAAATATCTTTAAGAACATAAAATATGACTATAAAAAAAAATTCTCAACCGAGATGTACTGGCCGACAGGGTAGAGTGTGCAAACATTAATAACTATCATGTCTTGTCACACCAATTGACAGCCAACTCTATCGATGCTGGCCATGCCCCTTACGCTCAATGCCATTGATTTCTTTTTGGGGTCAAAGGGCGAGCCGGCATTGATCCATGAGACTCTTTGACAGCACTGAAAGGACCAGTTCCAGACAAATCGATGACCCCTCAGTCACCACGTATACATTATGGTTATTTACTGGACATGAAGCAAAAGCAAGCTTTATCACTTGTCTGTCAGGTGCGGCAGAGCTAAGCAAAATTCATATTACAGCTTCAGAGAAAAATTAAAAGCCAATGGGCTCATGCAATGGCTAAAGGGTGAACAGATGGGTAAAAAAATACCCTCAAGGAAACTTGTTGGGTTACCATTGAAATTATAAGTGAGGCCAATTGCTTTCTTGTGGTTTTACAAGACAAATCATGGACTGAGATGTAGACAAATACAGAATCAATTCTATTCACGCTTTAGTCAAAATATGAGCCTTATTCTAGTGCAGCATTTACCAAAGATGGGTGCATGAAATTAACACACACACACACACACACACACACACACACATATATATATATATATATATAAATAGTCTTCAAATAATAGCCGAGTCCCAAATAGACGCCTGTCTCTTTTCAGGTTGTTAATCTTCTAAGACCATCAGATCGTCCGCTTTTTGGTGGCCGCCAAAGCAAATTTTTGTCCTGCCAAAGCCTATTTTGATCGGTGAATGACAGGACGCATAAAGCGTTCACTCTCACGTCTTCAAACAACACGAGCGCTGTCTTACTCGCTTTCTCTCTCTCGCGCATATTAATCAAATCTATTGTCACGATTCACACGAAGACTGCAGTTTCACGTGGAGCATTTGGAGATTTTTTAGAGATTAGAGACTCAATGAACAACATCTCAACACTAAATTATTAAGGCCGGTCTCATATAGACGCCAGTCAAGACTTTGCATTTCGACGATTTGGGAAAATAAAAGCCCGGGCTATTATTTGAAGTTTTAAGCAAACAAAGACTCAAAGTCCTTGATTTAAAAAAAAAAAAGAAGAAATAAAACATTCCTTTTGAGATTATTTTATCGATTTCACCTGTGATTCAATTGTTATTTCTGACAGACATAATCCTCAATGACTCGCAGGATTATGCATGCATGTTTAATTTACATACAATACTAATGAAATGATATATAAAGGTCCATCTCTCTGACTCTCATTTAATTGATTCAAATACTAATTTCAAATAAAATG